CTTCTTTCCTCGCCAGGTCCTTTCGGGCTGCGCCATCATTGTCCGGGGCCAGCCCCGTGGAGGCCCGCCTCCCGAGAGACAGATCAATCTCAGCAACATCCGCGCCGGGACTATGGCACGACGAGCAGCTGCGGGGCAGCCGGATGGCAAGGACACCCCTGACGAGGTAGGGTCCCAACCCCTGGGCTTCGGATGCCAGAGCCTCAGCTGCTGCGTTTCTCCCCTCCCCCCAGCCGGTCCTTGGTAGGTTCCAGTGTGGGTCGCCATCAATCACAGCCATTCAGAACAGTGGCGGAGGTGCCACCCCCCCCCCGGGGCCTGGGAGCCAAAGGATGTTTCTCCCCACTTGGAACTGCCAGGCTCAAAGGGCCTGGCAGTTCCTCCCCTGGCCGGGTGTCATTCAGGGGGTGCTGGTCCTGCGGCTGCTGCTGCTCACCCCAAGGCTCCTGTCCTCCGAGCAGCTTCTGGCTGAGCCTTGGGGGGGGCGGGGGAGAAGCTCCGGGCAGGCCGGCCAGAGCTGCAGCCGGCCTCTGGGCTCCTTGGGGAGGGGGCGGCCTTTGCTCGGGTCCCCTCGGGTGCCAGAGAGGCCTGAGGCCGCCATCCCTTTGTCGGGTTTTATTCTCAGCTGCTGGGTGAGTTTTCTCTTTAGAAACACCTGGAGCGGGGGGGGAGTTGGGGGGGGAGAGCTGCTCGTGTGTTTGTAATGAGTGCGATTTAGGTACACTGGTCCTGAGAAGGGTAGAAAATCAGTCTTGTCCGGAAACGCGCACGGTCTCTGTTTCCTGGACTGAGCAGAAGCTTTGGGTGGTGCATGTGGAGATTTATATGGTGGGTCGGCGAGTGCCTGGAACTGCCCGGTGGGTGTTGAGGGTGTGCCTCCCCCGAGAGGGCAGGGGCCCAGTCCCCGCACAGGGAGATCCCTGGGTTGGGTGTGGAGCCCCCTCCTATATTGCGCTGGGCGAGGGGCCCAGAACCCGTGCAGGGGGCAGGTCTCCGAGAGGGAGAACCCGGCCACCCTCACCCAGACAGGCTCTGCTGCTCCCCTGTTGGGCAGAGGAAGGGTTTCCGGGGAGGACGCTGGCAATTGTTACAGGCCGGGGGGCAGAGGGTGGGCAATTGCCCGCCTGGGGGGGGACCAGTAGGGTTAGGGTCAGCGTTGCCTGGGCTGCTCTGGCTAACCGGCGGTGTGTGCATGTGTGCGTGTGTGTTTCCTCTTGCTTTGCCAGCCTTGGGCGTTTCCTGCTCGTGAGCTTCTGAGGAAGAAGCTGATTGGCAAAGACGTTTGCTTCTCCGTGGAGTACAAGACCTCTCCCCGGCGGGAGTACGGCATGGTGTACCTGGGCAAAGGTGAGAGGCCTTCCCTGCTTCGGGGAGGGGGGCTCTCCCACAGGACCCCTAGGAAGCCACTGGGCGAGGTCCTCTCCGACCGGGGGTCGAGGGCCATCCCGGATTGATGACTCCCGTTAGCCTCTCGCCTGGGGCTGAGCTGGGCCCTGGTGGCCGTTGTGGTCTGCACAGCAGGGAAAGCCTCCTGAGACTGGGCTGCTCCTCATCGGTAAACCCCGTGGCAACTGGTGGTCCCGGCCCCAGTATTGGTTCTGGGCAGGCATGCGCTCTCCCCAGGGAGTCGGCCTGCTACTTCCGCTCTCGCGGCACCTGCTTCGAAGAGGTGGCTGCCATGGGGCCTTTGCCAGATGGGCGGGTGCTTGGCCTCCTCCAGCCTGCTCTGTTGGAGGCGGCCCAGAGGCTCCAAGGAGCCAGGCGGGAGCAGCGGTGGGGCGATCCAGCCAGCGCAGTCCTGGGTTTGCTGCGTGGGGCCTTTGGGGCCCAACTCGGAGTGCGGCGTCTTCCTTCTGGAGCCCATCGGGCACCCTCTTGGCCCAGGCAGCCCTGCCTGTTTGGTTTGGGCATCCTCCTCGCAAAGGGTACCGGAAGCCTCCTCCAGGATGGCCCTTGGCTCAAGCATAGGGTCCCCCAGAGGCCTGGATGGGCCCCTCCTTGTGTCCTGAGGAATATGAATGCCTTTTTTTAAAGGGCTTTTTAAAATTAAATTATTCGTTTAATTTTGTTTGATTCCTGATCTGGTTAACCCTTGTGTGCCCCCCTCCCCGAGGCCTAGATCAGGGAAGTCAGCCGATGCAGTCAATCCTCCCACCGCTGGGCATTGAGGGTCTGGGGGGAGCGGTCAGACTGAGATGTTCTGGGGCGCCTGAAAGGGGGGGGCTCACTCTGCCAGGCTCTAGTGGCCGAGAGGGCAGCAGGGGGAGCCTCTGGCTTTGGCCTCCCTGGAGGGCCCAGTGCAGGCGGCTCTTTCTGCCCCTGCAGCAAACGGGGCCAGGGGGACTTGGGCGCACTTTCCCCTCGGGCCAGGCGCCTGCTGTGACGCCCGGTGACGGGCACTGGGCACTGGGCTAGCTTTGGCGGTGCTGGTGGGAGCCTCAGGCACGGTTGGCCTCCTGCTCCCCTCCACTTCCTTAACACCGCTCTCTGGATTGCAGACACAACTGGGGAAAACATTGCCGAGACCCTGGTGGCCGAGGGGCTGGCCTGTCGCCGGGAAGGGATCCGAACCAATAAGTAAGTCGGCTTCGTGCAGGACGGCAGCAGCCTCTGCCCGGCTGCGCAGGAAGGGAGGACCTTCAGGCCAGAGCCCCATTCCTGGGTCCCGGGAGGCTCGTTGGGAACTTCGCTCGTCCGTGGGGAAGAGGAGGAGGAGGGGCTGTGTTGGCCAGACCTGGTGGGATCTTCTGCCCCCGCTGGTGTCGCACGGCCCCCTCTCTCACGGAGGACTATTTTTCCTCCTCCTCCCCCCTAGTCCTGAGCAGAGCAGATTGGCTGAACTGGAGGAGCAGGCCAAGACCGCCAAGAAGGGGATGTGGAGCGAAGGGACGGGCTCACAGACGGTCCGAGACCTCAAGTACACCCTTGAGAACCCCCGGCACTTCGTGGATTCCATGCACCAGAAGCCCGTGAACGGTGAGTGCTGTTTCGTGGTTGGGGTGAGGCTTGCTGGGGGGGAGGCGTTGCTGGCTTTGTGTTCCTCTCGGGGGGGGGGCAGGGAGGGGCTGGATCAGACGCTGAGTGGTTTTTCTCCGCAGCCATTATCGAACACGTCCGGGATGGGAGCGTCGTCCGGGCCTTGCTCCTGCCAGATTACTACCTGGTCACTGTCATGTTGTCCGGCATCAAGGTCAGCCTCTCCCAAGAAGAGACGCGTCCAAGGCCCCCTCTGGTCCAGTCTCTGGTTTCTCAGAGAGGCTCTGGTGGTTTAAGATGGGAGGAGCCACAGTGCTGCACCCCCAGGCTGTGATAGGGAGGGAGGGAGGAGAGTTCCCTTCAAGGAGCTGGTCCTCCTTCAAAGCCATCCCTGTTACTGGCCACCACCAAACCCCACCCAAAGAAGAGCTTCCTTTGGCCTCTTCTGAGCCTCCCTCCCTCTGGAGCCCCGGGAGATGGGGGAGGACTGCTCCTGCCCACTCTGGCGTGCCAGGTGTTGTGTCATGCAAGGAGAGCATCTGAGCAGGGCCCCCCCCTCCCCCGTTTATCCTGGCGCCTTTTCCAGCTCAGCTGCATGTATGCATGCATATACGTATTTATTAAATTTGCCCATCTCACCAGAGGTGACTCTAGGCAGCTTGCAACATTCAGCTAAAATGCCACTCCGGTATAAATATTAAACTGGTAAGGATATTAAATTTAGAAATTCAATGAAGCTAAGCCGGATGGAGAGGCAGGGAGCCAAGCGCGCCCAGGGAGGAGGTGAGACGCGTTCTCTTCTCCATCGGCCTCTTCCAGAGGGCGGCGCTCCCACTGGGGCCCCAGGCTGGTTGGCACAGCCAGGCCTGTCGGAAGGCCAGAAGGGTGGGGGCCACAGCAGGAAAAGCTCCTCCCTGGTCCCCACCAGCTGGGCTGCCTGGGCCGAGGGGGCCCGCAGCAGGGGCCCTTTCGGCTGGAACCGGCTGGGCAGGCGAGTCCCATCGGGACCAGCTGCTTCCTCAGACAGCCTGGCCGTCAAGGGGTCTCGGGGTGATAACCGAGCCCTTGAACTGGATCCGGAAGCAAACCAGCAGCCAGTGCAGCTCACGGGAGGTCGGGCTTACACGGGCCGGCCTCAAGGCCCCAGGAACTGACCGGGAGGCTGCGTTCTGCACCCGGTGAACCTCTGGATGCTCTTCAAGGCTGGCCCCACGGAGAGCGCAGGGTAGTTGGCCAAGCGCGAGATGACTGGAGCTGACTGAGCACAGGGACTCCCGATCCAGGAAAGGACACAATGGGCACATTTGTGCAAAGGCCCTCCTAGCCACAACTGAGCAGGAGTCCAGGAGAACCCCCAGGTTGTGCACTGGGTCTGTCTGGGGCACTGCAAGTCCGCCCAGGACTGAAAATGATAATCGGCCGGATCCCGAGGTCCCTTGCACCCACAGCCACTCGGTCTTACTGAGGTTCAGCCGCAGTTTGTTATCCCCATCCAGATTCCCCCCCCACTGCGGGGGGGAAGCGACAGCATCACTTGGGGTCCCAGGATGGAAATGTCTACTTGAGCATCATGGGCTCCCTGATGGTCGCTCATCCCGTGATAGCGAACGCTCCCACCTGGGGGCTTCATGTGGACATTGAAAAAGAGCGGAGGGGGCCCTGTGGCAGGCCATGGAAGAGCCTCTCACTGCCGAGAGGCAGCTGTCCCCCACGCAGCTCACCTCTGCACTGGACTGTCCACCAGCACCCCTCCCCCCCCAGGACCTGCTCCAGGCTGCTCCAGGCAGCTGCAATCCTCGTTCTGGGCGAGGAGTTAGCACTGGGCAAGGTTGGCCCTTGCTGGGCCCCCGTTAAGCGGAGCTCCCTTCTTCGGGCCCTGAGGCTGCCTCTGTGCAGTTAGGGAGCCAAAGGCTGGAATTCCCCACCACTCTAATGAGGCCGGTGGGGCGTTCTCCCCTAGACAGCCCCTCCTTGCTCCTGGGGCAGGGGAGGGAGGGAGGGTCTGTCCATGTTCGGGGTGGCCTCGAGTGTGTGTGTGTGTGTGTGTGTGTGTCAGGCATGCCAGGCGTCAACCTTGTGGCAGAGCTAAACGGAGGCTGTTGTGGGCTTCCCTCCTTGCCCTGCCGTGGGGCCCTGACCTGGCTCTCTCCTTCCAGTGCCCCACCTTCAAGCGGGAGGCAGACGGCACGGAGAGCCCCGAGCCCTTCGCGGCAGAAGCCAAGTTCTTCACAGAGTCGCGGCTGCTGCAGAGAGACGTGCAGATCGTCCTGGAGAGCTGCCACAATCAGAACATCCTGGGCACCGTCTTGCACCCGGCAAGTGGGGGCGGGGGGGCGCTTGTGACGGGGGGGGCTGGTGCACCGAGAGGTTCATGGGAGCCACCTCTGGGAGCAGAAAAAGGGGACGGGGCAAAGCAGAGCACAGGTGGGGGGGGGGGGCTCAAAGGTTTCATGCTTTGAAATGAACAAACTGCCCGGCCAGGCTGTCCAGTCCCTCTTCCGCCCAGGATTCCCTCCTCACTGCGCTCTCCTTTTCTGAGCAGAGTGAGGAGGGAATGCTGGGCAGGAGAGCGACTGGACAGTCTGGCTGGGCAGTTTATTGGTCATTTTATGAAGCCACCCAGCCCATAATGACTCGGGTAGCATACAAGTTAAAAGCCACGAGTCCCATGGATTTCACTCTGGCAGGCAGATGCAGAGCGGGATAAAAAACACACACACACACGCACACACCCAAGGCTCTTTGAGCCTCAAGCAGGCAGGTGCCATGGCAGGGGAGGCAGGGTGTCGGGTCCCCTCAAATGCCACCACTCGACAGATGGCGTCCAGAGTTCTGTTGGGTCCTTGGGATAAAAATGGGAGGGGGGTGGTTGCGCCAATGGCAGCCCCTCTGCCATGAAGGGCTGCACAGGGGCAGCTTGCGCCTGGACTCACGCCTGGAAGCCCACCGCACTTGAGGCTGCCTCTGGGCCGTATCTGGGCCCGGAACCAGCCAGCCAGACGGCTGGCTGCTCCTGTGGGGCAGGTTTGCCCCTGGTTCCCACCTCCGCCTGCCCTCCTTGTTGCCCCTTCTCCCTCCCTTGGACCTGCCCTGCCCTGCTCTGTGGGGGGGGGGGAGCTGGGGTGGGATGCCAGAGAGGGGCTTTCTGCTTGAAGGGGGCTGGGGGAGGCCGTCCCAGTCTGGCAGGTGGGGCTGCCCAGAGGCTGGGGATGTGAATTGGGGAGCTGCCTGGGGGAGAGGCTGCTGTGAGCCCCTGACGGCCATCTTCTCTCCCACCAGAACGGAAACATCACGGAGCTGCTGCTGAAGGAAGGCTTTGCGCGCTGCGTTGACTGGTCCATGGCTGTCTACACCCGGGGGGCAGAGAAGCTGCGGTCCGCGGAACGGTAATGCAGGCCGTCTTGCCGGGGGGCTCTTCCTCTCCCGAAGGGGCGGCTGCGCTCAGCTCCTGGTGTGTGTGTGGGGTGTCTGTGAGCAAGCTCCAGAGCAGCAAAGCAGCTTTGGGGCTGAGATTGGAGGCAGGGAGGGCAGCCTGCCCTCCCTGCTGCCCCCGCGATGGAGCCCTAGCCCGGGGAGTGTGCGCCTGCCCTGCCCTCCAGGCCGCCTCCTCAGGCAGGTGGGCTGTGACTGGGCCCCGCATTAAGCTGCCTTTTGCCTGGTGCGGTTTCTCTCCCCGATCCCCGGCTCTCTCCCAGGCGTTAGGGGGGAAGCTGTTGAAGTGTGCAGAGCCTGCTGTGGTATCTCTGCCACCTTGGCGGTAGCGTTGGGAGTCTCTTGTGGAGGTCTGCAGAACTGCTTGGGTTAGAGACGTGTGGGTCTGCAGCAGCACTTTCAGCCTGTTGTAGTGGAGGTTTTCCACCACCACGTGGGTGGCCCTAGTTTGGACCCCAAGCACTGCTGGGGTGTTCAGGCAGCCCCTCCGGGGTGGGGGTGGGGTCGCGGGAGGATGGGTACTTTTTTGGCCTCACCAGCTCCCCCCTCCTGAGAACCTGTAACTCGCACCTTCAGGGGACGGTGAAGGTGTCTGCTGCTGGGGGCAACGTGCAGTCTGCTTCACGCGGCCCCCGTTCGGCCGTGTGCCAAACGTGGGTAGGGGCTGCCTGCATAAATGCTCAGCTCTTCCTGGAGGGAGGAGGCCAATGGCAGCCCAAGCAGCCGAGCTAGCTAGAGCCAGGAAGCAGCTTCGGATGGGCCCTGGGGGGGGGCGGGCAGTGGCTGCCCAGTCAAGCCCCCTGTCCCTCTCGGCCCAGGTACGCCAAGGAACACAAGCTCAGGATCTGGAGGGACTACGTGGCGCCCACGGCCAACCTGGACCAGAAGGAGAAGCAATTTCAGGCCAAGGTAGGCGAGGGCTGCGCAGGCCCTCCCGAAGGGCTCTGCGATCGGTTGCCTGGGCTGCTCCCGGGGGGCCTTGGGGGCTGCAGGAGACGGTTTGGGGGGCGTCCAGTCACAGGGGCTCCTTCTAGGCCGAAAACAGGCCAAGGCGACGAGCAGGGTGGCCCCTCACCTGCACAGGTTCTCACTGTCCTGGGCCCTGAGGCTGCTTCCTCAGGAGGCCTTGCTTGGCTGCCCCCAGGAACCCCAGGCTGCCTGAGAAAGCAGCGGGGCCAGGCAGCCCAGGGCCACGGCCTCTGGAGACAGCAGCAGCTTCTGTGGGAAGCCCTCCCCTGGCTTGCAGATCCCTGTTAGACAGGCGGTGGGGCAGCTTGGCTTGTGCCCCACACGCTGGGGCGTGTTGCAGCCCCATCAGGAAGATCTGGTGCTGTGGCGCCCAAGTTCAGCTTGGAAACGGCCACCAGGTGGCGCCATTGCTGCATCTGGCAGGGCATAAGAGGCTGCCTGGCTGGGGCTGAGAGGCCGGCTTGCTGGGGGCTCTCCGTGGGGGGAGACATGGAGGGGAGGGAGGGGAGGCCTCGGGGGAAGGGGGGTGAGGGGGTGCTGCCCCAGCGGTCAAAGGGAGAAGCCCCGGAAGGGCCCACCCGGTTGGATCAAGCAGTTAAAAGTGGCGACTTTTGGACTTCTGGACTTTCAGATTCGCTCAATGTGGCCTCACAGTAAATTTGGCTGGCCGACTGGGGCTCCCTGCCTTGGCTACCAGAAGGGTGGCGAGGAGCCCCCCCCTCCCCGGAAGGGAGCCAATTGCCCACTCTGATCAGCAAAGGGCCCCGCTGTGCAGGCAGCCGGGTTGGGGTCCGCCTCACTTTGGGCACAGCTTTCAAAGGAGGCTGGGCTCTCTGTGGGACTGTCCCACCCCCCATAACCTTTCTGGCAGTTGCCAGCAGGGGTGGGGAAGGTGGTTGCCTTCTGCCCCTCTGCTGGGCCAATTGTACCTGGAGGGAGCCCCCCCTCCGCCCTCCTCCTCCAGCCCCAGGGCTGCCAGGGGGTCCCTGGGGAGTTTTGGAAGTAGAGCAGATCTTCAGTCGAAAGAAGTTGAAGCCGAGAGTTAAATATATTCCATCAGTGCGTATTTTTAGCCAGGGACTAGGACGGTCACTCGGAGTCCTGCGTACGAGGTGAACAGTATACAGATTGGATGAACGGATTAGTAAAATCTTTTTGGCTTCTTCTGCGAGGCAGAGATGGGCGATGGGTCCAGAGGGCTTGTTGCCTGCTCGTTGCTAAGCGGCCCTGGCCATCCATCTGGGGTGCCTCACCCCGGTCAGCTGCAGCTTAAAAACCCCAGCAACGGGCATTTAGGCCAAACAGCTGCAGGTTTGGTTCTGAGGCAACTTGTCCCGCTTGCCCGTGCCCCGAGCCCTCTCTCTGACCCGGTTTGCCCTCGATGGCCCTGGGTCCAGGGGAGGAGACCGAGCCTGAGTCCTGCCCGTATCTCTAGCGATGTCTGAAGGGCCCTGGAGATGGGGTGGCCGGCATCTTTAGCCGGAGCGGGGGACCTGCCCCCTCCGTCCGATGCCAGGGGAGGCTCTGCCGTCCGTCGGAGCATCGACCGGGCCCAGGTTGCAGGAGCCCAGAGATTCCTTCCCGAAGGAGGGACCGAGAGGGGGGCTCCCCGGGCTCCGGCCACGATTGCAGGGACAGGGGCGCAAGAGGGTGGCCACGTCGGGAGGAGGTGGCCACGTGGGATCCGGATTGTGTGGAGAGGCTAGTTGTGTGTGTGCACAGTAGGTCATTTCCGGGATCTGGCCCACGGAATTCCTCAAGCCTCGGCGGACAAGGTGGGAAGTTCTTAGCAGACGACTCACAGACCGCTGAGGAGAAAACATGGGGCAGCTCAGGAAAGGGTGGGGGGTGCCCGGGGCCCTTGGCAGGGAGTATGCAGGTGGGGCACATTTTGGGGCAAAGGCAGTCCAGGAGACCCTTGTGTGGGGCCTGTGCTTGGCTCTGGGCGGCATCCCCGTCCTCTTCAGGCTGACCCTTCAGGCCACAGCCGCTCAGGGGTCCGCCTGCCTCGGGCTCTTCCGCGCCTGCCCACCATGCTTTGGGGGCGCTTTCTTTCTTTTCCCACTAGTGGCTTTCGCAGAGCCTGGGGATTCCTCTTGGGGTGGCGAGGGAGGGAGGGAAGGGGGCGCAGCCAGAGCCCCCGAGAGTGAGGCAGGCCTGGGTGGCTGGCAATGGAACTGCTGAAGAGGGCCGCTCCTCCTGCCCAGTCGGGGGCCCTCAAGGGAAGGGGCGCTCTGGGGTCCAGCTTTCTGAGCTGCGGTGAGGCTGAGGGGGTCTCCTCTTGGGGGTGCTGGGAAAGGGCTGGGGGAGTGTGGGTGGCCCAGGATCGCCCGGCTCAGCCCCTGCTCCCTTCCCCTCCCAGGTGGTGCAGGTGCTCAACGCAGATGCCATTGTGATGAAGCTGAATTCCGGGGACTACAAAACCATCCACCTCTCCAGTATCCGGCCTCCCAGACTGGAGGGGGAAGGCCCTCAGGTAGGATACACGTTTCAGGGAGGGGAGGACGGGCACAACGTTCCTCCCGGTGTCCCTCTGGGTTGGGCTTCAGCCCCGCCAAAGAGGAGCAGATTTTAATATTGGTGTTGCCACACAGCGACTCGCCTGGCGTGTGGAGAGCAATTGGAGATTCTGGTTTTAAGAGAGAAACAGCTGAGCCCCTGTTGGGGGTCTCCCTCTGGGGGCCTCTGGGTTGCTCTTCTGCTGCCCTCTGGGACGTTGGCCTTCTTGGCTGGAAACTGAGGCTCCTCTCCCCCATCCGAGGAGGAGGAGGAGGAGGAGGAGGAGGGTGAGGCTGTTGGGGGCCTGTTTGGTGCCTCAGCAGCTCAGGAGCCTCCACGTCTCTCCTGCACGCAAGGAGCCCCCCCCCCCGGGCAGCCCTTTCCAGACAGCCTCCTTTGAGGAGCGGCCGATTCCTCGGCTGGGCTTCAGCTTTGGGCTCCGGGCAAGCTCTTTTTCTTCTCTGCCAGAGGAGATGCCTCTAGGGCCAGCTCTGCTGAGCTGGCCCAAGGCCTGGCAGGAGGAGCCCCCGGCTTCTGGCTGCTGGTCCTTCTGAGGAACGGCCGGCCCCTTGACCAGCACCCCCTGGCAAAGGGGCTACAGGAGTTACTGGTCTGGCTTTGGAAACTGCACTAGAATCGGTAACTGGTTCAGTTACAGAAAGGCTGGATGTAAATGTGCCCCCCCTGCCCCCCCCCCGCCATGAGGTGGTGATGAAAGCGGCCAGGCTTTGGACTGCCACAGGCGGAAGGGCAAGTCCGAGGGAGGGGGGGGAAGCTCCCTGGTGAAGAAGAACATTACATGGGAAGGCTCACATTTCCAAAGGCAGCAATAATAAGGGAGGATGATAGGGGGAGGTCTGGATTGCCCCCCTCCCGGGCACTGCAGCCACCTGTGGGAGGGGGCCAAGAGGCTAGAAGGTGGCCTCCGCCAGGACGAGCGAAAGGGAGGCAGCTTGGCCCCCTTTGGGGGATGGAGGACCGGGTGGTGCCGTCTGGTTGCCTCTGAGGTTCCTGCCCACCGCCCCCCCCTTGGCTCATCACAGCCCCCTCGGGCTTTCCTGGGGTCTTTGATTGGCCTGGCCTCTGGGAGGCTTTGTGGTGTTCCCCCCCCTCCCCAAGTTTGCACCGCGGAGCCTCCTGTGACTCCGCCTCGGCTCCTGTCTTTCCCGATCAGCTCCCGGCTGCGGAGAGATGGTGCCGCTGCCTGTTTGTGCTACAAGCAAGGCGGGGAGGTCAGAGCAGCGTAAACAAGGCCAGGGGAGCATTGACACACATTCCTTTCCTGTAGTGGAGCAGGGAACATGAAAATTTAAAGCTGAGCATCTCAGTTTAATGATCCAGAGAAATTGTTCCTGTTACCTTGTTTGAGCACGAGAGCACTTCAGGCCATCCGCCAGTCTGCCTCGGAAATGAAAGCGCCAGCGATCCCAGCTTCTGAGCGGCCCCCGGCCCTGCAGTGTTGGCCTGCTCCTCTGCAGGCGCCAGCCGGGCTTCTGGAGGGAGGGAGGGAGGGAGGGAGGGCTCTGCCCCGTGGGATTCGCCAGGCCTGGGCTTGTCTGCTGGAAGCCGCCCAGGGGAGGCCTTTGGCGGTCAGGGAATGCTGGCAGGTCCCTCTGCCCACCGGCCGGGCTTCCTGACCCGGAGAGCGGCCTGGGGGGGGGCGCTCTGCTAGGCTCCATCTTCAGCTCCCCTGCCTGCTGGGCTCCCCTGCCTGGTGGGGCAGGAACGGCCACGGGGGGGGTCTGGGAGGCTCTGGGCGGGGAGCCCCCATCAGCGGCTACTCAGCGTCTGGTCATGGGCTCCTCTCCTCGGAGCTGCTGTGGCTGACCCTTCCCACCGGCCCTGGGTGAGGTTGGTGGCAGCAGCATGGAGCAGGGGAGTCAGTCTCCTGGCTGGGATTGGTGTGATGCGGGGGCAGGGGGGCTCATGGGGGAGAGGGGGGGATTTGGGGGCTTCCCTTTGGTCAGTTTTAATAACTTAGCACTTCTCCTTAAAGTACAGTTGTCCATCTCTTTCAATATCCCTCCTCTCACCTACAAAGAGGCCTGCGAGGCCTCCTCCTCTCAGCTCTGAGATCAGCAAAGGCTCCTTTGGGGCTTACCAGAGATAACATATTTATTTTAACCTTGATCAAATACCCAACTTTATATTCCTTCTGTTTCTAACTCCCTTGAACTTTAGTCTCATCAAATACTGTGGTAGAACTGTTTTTTTAATCCCTTCTCACAAAACTCTTCAAGATGTTAACAAGCCTGTTTTACACATCCAATGTGAGAACATTATCCAGGTCTCCCTCTCCCTCCCTCCCCCTCCCTCTCTCTCTCTCACACACACACACAGCAGGTTTCTTTCCAGTGCCCCTTATAAAACCTTTTTACATGTCATTTTTGTAATGACAAAATGGATTTTGTAAGTCCATTTTCAAACCGGTCTCTTGCTAGTTAGAATTTGTTCCTCTTCCAAAGCTTCTTGTATTGTTCACTGTGACTCATGCCTGAGTCACTTCCCAATTGGATTACTGCAATGTGCTTCCCCTGGGGCTGTCCTTGAAGACTTTCTGGAAGTTGCGACTGGCCCAGCATGCAGAAGATTTTGCAGTTCTGGCGATCCTGAGATTGGCCTGGGATTTGCCAGGCTGTCTGCAGGACTGCTTCTCTCGGGGGGGGTGCCTGCCTACCGTAGTGGGTCGGGTCGTCGCTTCCCTCAAATGCTGTCCCCTGAGGGGGCTTTAGACTTGCACTCTCCCTGAAGCCCCCGCTCCCCTCCCCTGCCCTCTAGTGTAACCTCCTTCCTGAGGCCCAAGGAGCCCCCCCCTTTTCAGTCTTCTGGAAGGGCATGAAGACCGGGCTCTTCTCCCGGGCACTGGGACAGACGGGGGTTGCGTCAGGGGGCGGGGGTGTGTGTCTGCTGCCCGGTGGGTGAGGTGGTTCTGTTTCGTCTTGGTTGTGGGGAGCTGCCTAGGATCGCTATGTGGCCAGCCGTAGCATTCTTTTTTTAATCTACCCAACATGCGACCAAGATACGCTACTACTTAGGGCTGGGAAGCGGAGTGCCAAATTTGGAAATACTAAGGAAGACAATAGAGTTGGGCCCTACGGCCTGGGAAGCAGGAGAAGGCTCTGGCGCTTAGGCCAGTTCAGTGATTCCCAAATCCCTCCGCTGCTGTCTGTCCCGGAGCTCATCAGGGGGACATCAGTGCCGTCGGCTGAAGGAGGCGGAAGAGCCGAGTTCTCGTAGCAAAGACACGGCCAGAGGCCGCCTGTGGGAAAGGCCTCAAACTGCTCAGGTGTGCAGGTTGCATCCAAGTCAAGCCGAGGCGGAGGAGAGAACAAAGCCACCAGCTCCACCGGATGAACTCGACCGCACAGCCGTAGGTTCACGGGAAAGTCCGGGAATGGCTTGGAAGCCCTGAACCGGAGGAACTGTGGCCTGAACTCAGAGAAGCGGCTGCAGAGGAGCGTGAGAAGAGGCTGCCAGGGAGGAAGGAAGAGCAGAAAGGAAAGCTGCATGTCTGAACAAGCTGTGGAGAAATTGGGCTAAGAAGAGAAGCCAAAGCCAGGAACGTCTCAGGATTGGTGACAGGCCATGAATGGACTCTCGGCGACTTAGAGCGATTTCCTCCCTGTCCCAGCCTCAGGTCCCTCAGGCCTTCTGGTGGTGCATCCATTGCCCCCGTGGCCGAGCCCCCCCCCCCGGTCGGCTGCCGGCTCTTCCCTTCCCTCTTCCTTGGCATGGCAGCCCTCCGCAGAAAGCTGGCACTCCCCAACCTGTGTCTGAGGGGGCAGAATCTGTGCCTGGGGCATGAACTCTGGGCTGACTGGCTCGTGATCCATGTCCACCGTCTCCCCCGGAGTCTTCTCCAACACAAAGTTCAGAAGCATCAAGGACTTCTTCAAAGCCCAACTTCCACTTCCACAGTGTCATTTATAGCGAGGCCCTCACAATTCTGACCCATCGTGGCGTCTGAAGATCTTTGCCAGGGCTGCTCTGTGGCGCCCTTCTCGGCTGCCGGTTGTTTTATTTTCAAGGCTTAATCCTAAAGGCAGAAACTATCTGGGCCCTTCGATATCTGCACTGTCCCTGCCAAGGCTGATTGTTGTGCCTGATGTTGTTAGTTTGGTCTTCCTTTTATTTTAATCCTATTTTTCACACTGCCCTTTGACCTTTTCTTCCTGGAACTGGCCAGTCCTTTGCGTGTTCGGCCGTCAGGGCGGTGCCATCCGCATAGTGGAGGTTGCCGGTGTTTGTTCCTCCAGTTTTAAAACCAGGCTCATCTTTTTTTTTTATTCCTACTTCCCTTAATCTATATTCCGCATATAGGTTGAATAAATAAGGGGAGACCAGACTGTTTTGTCTGTCTTATCAACCTGGAGTCAGGCTGTTTCACTCCTATTCTTTTTAATTGTTTTTTTTGTCATTTTATACTGTATTCTCATGTTTGTGTTATCCAGCCAGAGTTATTGCTTAAGATGGGCAGCCATGAAGGAGAAGGGAGTGAACTAGTGGAAGAGAAAGAAGGAGTAGCCTCTCCCCCTTGCCACCTCCCCCCATTCAATGCTGCTTCTCTTGGGTCATTGGTGGCATTCAGCCTGGGGGGGGGGCAGGGCTTCAAGGGACCCTTGACAGAAAAACTGGGCAGCTTCGCTCGGTTGCCCTGGATTGCTGGAGGCCGGCAGGATGCCCACAAGCTCGCCTGGAATCCAGCAGTCGCCAGGACAGTAATGACCTCCCTTTGGACAGAGCAGGAGAACCTGCACCAGTCTGCTCTGGGCCAGCCTGGCAGTGAGGAAGCAGCCTTTGTGAAGCCCACTGGCTGGCTTGAGTGGTGGATGGGCAGCTGGGTTGGGAGGCCGGACCGAAGCACCTCGACTGGCCTCCCCTGAGTGGAGACCGGGGACTCTTGACTTGCCAGGCCTACAAAATGAGTAGGTTGTGGTCTACTTTGTCAAATTCCTTGCTTCCCATTTTCTTCCATTG